CAACAAATGAAGGAAAAGAAGAATAAAATATTTAAAGGCTTTAGTGGAAAATGTGTCCACTTCTTTACCAGTGATTTTGTAATATTACATTTTTCTTTGCTTCTCAGGCCAGCAGAAAATACTATGGAAAGCTGTGTCATGGGAGGGGATGGAAGAAGATAGGGCCTTGTGTCACTAGAGCACCCCCTCTTCCTACTAAAGAATGGGGATGATGGGGACAGAAGGGAATCCTGTTCTCTTTAGCTGTAAGAAAGAAATATTACCACATAATCTCTCACTTTCAAGTACTATGTGCGGATAATGGCTGTTGTTCAATGGGGCATCAAAGGGATTTTCATGGATATTTGTGAACATCATTCAGATGAAACATTAAATGTTGATCAGACTGGAAATATGATCATCCACATTTTTGCTCTATGCGTGAGCACTGTGCGAGTTGTTACATTGCTGTACACTGCTACGTGTACCATGCTGGGCTATCAACTTAGACAAATCCAAGTAGTTGCAATTAGATGTGGATAAAATTTCAGCTCTGTCAACTCAATTAGCACCATGTCCATAGACTTCCAGTCAAAATGGACTGTTTACAAAATTCAAATCAAACACATTATGCGAAGCCCGTTCCTCCTAAAAAAGGAATTTTCATACTCATATATAAATGAAAGGCATTTATTTTTATAGCATGAATTGTACCTACATATGATTTTTCATTCCTGGCCTTTTTCTTCTAAGTGGCTCTATTCTCCCTTTCCCACAATTTCACTATTAGCTAATCTTATATTTTTGTATCACAGAGCTTTACCCTTCTTTCTCTGTTCTTCTTTTATCTCTTGTTTTTGCTCCTCCTTTCCCTTTCTTGTTTTTGCCTGTTCTATTATCTGAATTTTCTTCAGATCTTTTAGTCCTCTCCAGAACATCTTCTTCTTAATTAGATCAGGATATGCCCGTGGCAGATTGCTGTACTGATTTGATATCAGGTTACAATAGCAGCTCTAGATAAGGCATTTTGCTTAAACAGATTTACATAAAGGATTAGATTTCTGGGTAGGACTGCAAATTTTTAGCATCTATACCAACATAAGATAACTAAACTGCCAACATACTATTGTTCCACGCACTGGTTCTTATGTCTCCAACATTTCACGGATAAGTGATGAGCATGCAGTAAAAATGAAACTAAAGGCTCAGCCAACAGGCTAGTAGCTTGAAGCCATCGAAGTTTTAGTTTGTCTTTACTAGAGGGTTAACTTGCTGTTAATCTTGATTGGATTGGTAGGAAATTAACAAGAACAGACACAAACCTTCCATGAGTCATGTCCTGGTCATGGGACAGTGAGGCAGCTACCTCGCTCAGTGGTATAGGGCAGACTGCTGGTTAGCTTGCTGTCTTTGTTAACTCAGTGTGTCCTTAGTGAGAACTATGGCTTACCAGCTCAGACCCAGCAAAGCACTTAAGCATGTGCTTAACTTGAACACGGAGGCTGAACTATTTGCTCACTTTTAGCATTGGACCTTTCTGGAAAAGAATGGATGAATCAGGTGATGAAACTTTGCAGCGGGAATTTTAGCATGTAAAATCTTTGTTATCAAAGAGAAAGATGATGGAAATCAGCATGTCAGCTGGCTATGCAGTCTTCCTGAAGGTGGCCATTTTGAATTCTATATACTTTGTTTTTTAACATTTCAAAAGAATGTTTAAAACTATCAATTACTTGTGAGAGGCGAGAGAGTGAGTCTAAGGGCCATGATAACCCTCCTTGGCTTTTCCCCTACGCACCTTTTTATAATGATGAATCATTTTTAGTGCTGTCTTTTCCATTTCATAAATCAATGGCACGTACATAATTCATGCAACCCAGAATGGATTTATATAAAGGGCAGGAGGCAGTGGTTCAGGACTGAAGGAGAGTCACACCATTCTAGAGTGTGTTGATGCTTTAAAGTACATCCAGGCAGCATCGGGTCGACCATGTAACTGAATGAGTGTAGGTCACTTTGGCAAAGGAGATTTAACCCTGGAATGGAACATGCATAATATGTCCGAAAGTTACCTCTCCATTTTTTGTGACATCCAGTAGGAAAGGAGTCTTCTTCACTGCAGAGTGCACAGGTAACTAATTGCACTCTTTAAATACTGAAGGAAAGGAGCTGAAATACTTTTTGGTCATGATGTGTTGATAACTACTTCTGCTATCCCTGTTCTGCATTCATGTCATTAATGTTGGTGTCAGTGCATGTGCTGTCAAGCAATCAGGCACATGTGACCCTGTATCCAGATATCAGAGGGGTGGCCATGTTAGTCTGGATCTGTAAAAAGCAACAAAGAGTCCTGTGGCACCTTAAAGACTAACAGATGTATTGGAACATAAGCTTTCGTGGGTGAATACCCACTTCGTCAGACTCTTTGTATACAGATAGTGACAGCTATTTTCAGTACCCAGAAAATGGGACTACTGGTGATGGTCACTATTTGGCCAGTCAGGACAAATGGGGCTTCAGCATTTCATTGTGAATTACAAATGAATTTTGAAAATTGAATAAGGGATCTAACTGGGACTAAGATTTCTGTCTCTATGCCCAGAGTAAATAGATTTGCCCAAGGAAAAAACAGCTGGAATAGAAGGTGGCACATGCCTGAAATTCAACCACCTTTGTGCCTTATGCATTGGATAATGTCCAGTTTATTGCAGAGATTGCACAGCGTAGTTTTTGAAAATCATTGAAGTTTGATGGTTTTGAATTTGCATGTCTTGCTCATTTGTACCAGATCTTCCCTGTTTGATATTATTTATGCTTCCTGTTGAGCAGTGAGAATTCAAGGTTGTAGTGAAATCATCTGAAATTGGATTTATACAGTTTTGGGTCCAATCACAATAAAGATGAAGAGCTTCAATACCTTTGTGAAACAATCTGGTGTGTGATGATGATAATGCCTACATTGTGCTTTTCTTCAAGGCACTTTGCTAGCAACTAGTTCTTCACAACAATCTTGTGGTGTTATCCACATTTTTACAGATGTGAAGAAAATGAGAGGCATTTATGTCATCTGCCCAAAACCACAATGGAAGTTGGTGTCAGAGCTAAGATTAGCACCAGCAGTTCCTGGTTTCTGGTTCTGTACTCAGCCGACTGGATCAAATCACTTCTGTTGCTGATTGGCGCCGAGTTTATCTTCTCTTTTTATTTCTAATTGTGCCAATCACATATCATGTAGGCAAATATACTTGACAGATTTCTTCATGAGAAATATTATTCCTTGTGTATTTGTGGGCAATCCATGTTATAATGAACAAAAGCACACTTAAGATATTTAATTGAATTGATTACCTGTATGTTTTACAAAATGTTTATCGCTGGCATAACTAGAAGGTTAATGATCCCTAAAGTATTATCCCAGTTTATAGATACTGCATTTGGGGCAATAAATGTTAACCTTTGAACATTTGCTTCTGCAAATAAAATTCAGCCTCATTTTGTGTACTTAACAACCTCTGATTGGAAACACATAGCAACCTATAGCAAGCAAGCTTTCAGCAAACTGGAACAGAAATGAGGTAGGTCTTCAAAGTGATCACTTATCTTCCTCAATAACTCTTCTGCATGTAAACAAGATAAAACAGGCTGTTTTGCCAGATCCCTCATTCTTTGAATGGCATGTTTGTCTAGTTATAAAGAACAAGCGATTGTGCTTGGGTATATTTTTCCTTTCATACAGAAGCCTTTGAGTTAGAGGCTTGAGTTTCTCTTCCTTTAATCCTGCAATGGAATTTTAAAGCACTTCACAGAGATGTGAAGAAAGAGTAGGTAACTATGAACTTGATCCTGCAGGGCGTGGGGCACCTTTTTGCATGATGCTGAACACCTTCATGTTCTGTTAGTATCAATGATAGTTGAGGGCAGTTAGGATCTTGCCTAAGTATCTGAGCACCTCATACGATTGGTCCCCAAGTTACTGTATGGAGGCACAGTGGGCAGATTCGTTTCCTTTACACAATGTTAGAATTTTCAGATTTAGAATTTCAAAATGTTTTACTGTTTTGATCTCTATAGTTTACTTGTGTGTGTGTCCCCCTTTTCTTTCGAAGTGTCCTCTTTTCTCTGTCTGTTGGAAATCAAGTGAGATCAAGCTTAAAATATAAAGAAGAAATACCATATACAGCGGAGTCTGTACACAGTGTATGTACAATTTTCCTTTAATTCAAAGTAGGATGGCTGTTGTTTGCATTTCTGATGGGCATATCTGGAAGATAATATGTCTTGATATGGTTGACATGGTTAGCAATGCAAATGATAAATCACTTTGGTAGCAAAATACTGTAATCAAGAGCCTGCATCCAAAGCACATTGAAATCAGTAGGATTCTTTCCACTGACCTCAGTGGACTTTGGACTCTGTCTCAGTATGCCAGTATAGAATGATTAGAGTAACTTCTTACATATTTCAATGGTAAGTGATAAATTCACCGCTTTCAGGTACCAAATATTGGATATGAAATGCAAATCCAGATAATAAAATACATTACACATAATTTTGCTAGCAGTATGTGTCTTCATTCTGTGCCCAATTCTGACCATTATGGACAATGAACTTTTTCTCCATAATTCTCATAGACTTTAAGGTCAGAAAGGACTATCATGATCATCTAGTCTGACCTTCTGCACTTTGCAAGCCACAAAACCTCACCCACCCACTTTGTAATAGACTCCTAACCTCTGGGTGAGTTACTGAAGTCCTCAAATCATGATTTAAAGACTTCAGGTTACAGAGAATCCACCATTTATACTAGTTCAGTGGTTCTCAAGTTTTAGCAATCCGAGGACCCCCATTTTGATTTAAAAATTTTCACGGACCCCAAAAACCCCCGCTTAGCCTCATGCCCCACCCCCACTCCACTCTTTTCCACAAGGCCCCACCCCTCTCCACCTCTTCCCGCCCCTGCTCTACCCTTGCCCCTCCTCTTCTCCGCCTGTTTCCATCCCCTCCGCTGAGCACGCCCTATCCCTGCTCCTCCTCCTCCTCCCTCCCAGTGCCTCCTGCACGCTGCTGAACAGCTGTTCCCCAGCGTGCAGGAGGCACTGGGAGGGAGGGGCAGGAGTTGATCATGGGGGCCCATGGACCCCCTGGAGTATCCTGGGTCTGCGGATCCCAGTTTGAGAAACTTTGTACTAGTTTAAATCTGTGGGTAACCAATGTCCCCTGCTGTAGAGGAAGCCAGGGTCTGTGCCAATCTGACTCAGGGGACAATTCCTTCCTGACCCCAAATTTGGCGATCAGTTAGACCCTGAGTGTGTGGGCAAGACCCGCTAGCCAGACTCCTGGGAAAGAATTCTCTGTAGTAACTCGGAGCCCTCCCCATCACGGCAGTTAGAGTTTCCAAACCATCTCTAGGTGTTAATACAGTGACTTTGTCACACCAATTGCCACGGTGAATGACTTCCTCTTTGTGCACTGTACCGCTCAGAACAGCAGCAACAGTGCAGACTAGCCAATCTGCCTGAACCTTGATTTGGGAGGGCCACCTCTAAGGCTGAGTTTAGTCTCAATACCTTATGAGGATACTGCCAACCAGGAAGGCAATTTATGAGGGCATTTAGAGGGCATTGTGATACAAACACATGCCCATTGGAGCTGGACTGGGACCTCTAACCTTATTTCACTTAGGCCATTGCACAACCATGAGATATTAAAAAAACTTTGATCCTTAATGATCTGAGCTGCACTAAAATTGGTGATTTAGAAATGACATTACCAACCACCTCAGCCATCTTGTTCTCACCATAACCCCTCCACCTATACTATATATATTTAAACTTTATATCATAATTATATTAAATAACAGACTGATGATGAAAATCCTTTCTGCATTACCATTTTCTGCAGTAGGTTTAAACCACATTGGAAACACTTATTGAAAAGTCACTTTATTTTAGAGTTCTTTATATACAAAGTAATTTTTCATTACCCCCATTAGATGATCAAAATAATATTATGATATATAATTAAAAGGAAAACAAGAATGTACCTATGCATAGGCCAAGATTTGGGGTAAAATTTTCAAAAGTGCCTGTGTGATTTGGGAATCTATGTCCCATTTTCAAAAGTGACAGGTACTTAATAGGCTTTGTCTTAATGAAAGTCAATGGGACTTAGGAGCCTGTCACTTTTAACAATGGGACAGAGCAATTAAGGTGCTTTTAAAAATTTTACCCTTGGTGCCTAAAGCTAGGCACCTAAATCCATAGATAACCATCTAAATAAGTAGCCACACTTTCAAAAGTGCTGAGTACCCAGCAGCTCCCACTGAAGTCAATGAGATGGCACCACTTTTCAAAATCAGGCTACTTATTTAGGTGCCTAAATATGGATCTGGCACCTCAGTATTAGGGACCCATTTAAAATATTGGCCAGAGGTTATATTCAACGAAGATATTGGTTTGCTTAGTCTTCCATTAATTTGGCCTTTCAATTTTTTAATATTAATATGTCTGAAAACCAGACTAAATTTCAAGGAATTTAAACATTACTTGGATGCATTATATGTGTCTTTATCTATGGTTTCATTGTCTCACAAAATGCAATTGTTCCCTTAAGTATATCTAAGTTTTAAGAATTTTTCTCCCTTCACTATTTCTTTAAGAAACAAAATGGACTGAAATGATCTCTTCCACCATGAGTGAAAATGGGCCAACGTTCACAGTTCCATAATGTTTTTCCAGAAACATTTATGGGATGATTTGAAGAGCGCATGTTTGTTCTAGTATTATTTAGCCTTGGAAGTGATTTCTGTTTAAAAAAAAAAATCAAGCTGGACCCCTCCCCAACAATAACTCAGCAGTCTGTAGCCACCTTGATCTAGGTTTTCAATCAAGTAGCCCAAAGCATGAACTAGTTTTTCAGGGCCAAAACCTGGACCCATGTGCAAAGTTTGAGAAAGTGAAATTAGCACATGGGACCTACATAAGGATGAGAAGGGGGAGGAATTTTCCCTCTTAATCCAGTGGCAGGGCACAGAGCACATGCACAGTCCCTGTTTTGCTCTTAGGAATGCAGCATTGCCTGTGGTCCACTTCATACGTCTTTTGGTTAGTGGATCCACATAGTAGCAGAACAACTGGACACCCCTTGTTCCCAGCCCACCCTCTGCACTGCCATGGGAAATGCCTGCTTTGTGGTCCAGAGAGGGCCTGGCATCCCCTTGTAGCATCCATCCAGGACCCTTTGCACACAGTAGTTCCATTGGCTTGGGGGGTTTTCCACTGTCCTTTCACAGGCCCTGGGGATTTGGCCCTTAGTTGATTGTACGTGGAGCCTGTGCGCACAAGGCTGTTGTGATGCTGGGATCTCTTGCAAAACAGCTCTGGCTGTCCTGTCCCCTTTTGAACGGTAGTGCTCCATGTACTGTTGGTTTATAATGTTCTTTATAAAATAACTCTTTGAATGGCCTTACTGAGAGGCCACAACCTGCTGAAGGTTCCCATTGTGCTGTAAGCTATTCATTGGAAGTGGAGGAGGTGGCGGGGGAAATAAAGAACTGGACATTTCCGAATGAGTCTGTGGGTTATGTACTGGAATGGGGCTCACTGAGCCAGAGTCACTCTGCATAGAGCCAAGGCTGGTGCCATCAAAATGAGTCATTTTCTTCTTCATTAATTTTCTTTCTTTGGCTCTGCGATTCTGGAACCAGATTTTCACCTGCAGAGGAACAAAGGAAAAGGTGTTTCAAGAGCTAACAGAATGTAGTCTGATAAGTCAGCTTCTCGGTGTTGTGAGATTTATTTTTTTTAGAGTCTTATTTTTTGGCCCTTTTATATGTAACATATTTAGGTTTTGTGTACAAAATCTTACTTAAATTCTTATGTTGCATGCATCACTGTGATATCCAAATGCCTGAGACTGCTCTAGTTAATGGTGTGAACTGAACTGGCATGAATAGCCCCAGAGATCAGGGGAGCATACAGGTAGTGTTACAGTCGCCTTAGCCCCTGCCTTGGTTGTGCACTGAGTCCAGCTTGGCCAAATCAGAGGATCAGGGCCAATTTACCCAGGGCATTTTTCTCTTCTCACATTCATCAAATTTACAGCCGTGTAACTCTGTTGACTTCAGTGGAGTTGGTCCTGATTTATACCAGTTCCTCAATATGGATTTAGCTGTCTGTTTGGGCACACACATTTGAAAAGTTTGCTCATAATTTAGTAAAATGACCCCAGTTCTTCCACGTTGGACAGAGAAAACAGCCTTTTCTTAAACTTATCTTTCAACCTCCTTTCTTATTAAAAATAATTTTCAGTGACCTATATTCCAGTTTAACTCAGAAATATATCTTTTAATAAGTATTTCTTTACACTGGGTTGACCTCACCTGTTAGGTAAGGAGTGCTAGGCTGAGGCATTTGCATAGTATTCTGCTGTGTTCCAGAATAATGCTAATGGTTTATATTTCTGTTGTATCTCTCAAACAGAAGGACCCTGAAGTGCTTTACAAACAGATATAGGCCAAATTCTGCCCTTCAATAGATATGTGCAGACAGTCTATTGAAGTCAATGGGCAATGTGCACACACGTTGAAGGGCAGAATGATAACTACATACTAAATTCATTACTTCACTCACAACTGAAATGCAGCCACCTTCATGGTGAAATGAAGCAATGGTTGAAGAGCATGCTGCAATAACGCTTACGGTTCTTTTAGGGTAGGCAATAAAGAATCAGCAACAGTGTAGGATAGGTAATGAAGAATATTGTGTCCAGTTGAAACTACGGGGGAGGGGGTATTTTGAGGCAGCAGAATGTAATGGAATTTGAACAGGAATCTAGGGTTAACTCATTATTCTTGTGAAAACTTCTATTTCGTCTCTAATGATCACGGGGCAGATTCTCAGCTAGTGTAAACTGACCCCAATTTATTCCAGCTGAGGAACTGCATAAGTAGTTCTGTATGAAGTCTAATCTGTTTACTGAGGCAGAATCATCATGATCATTTTAAAAAATCTGCCATCCTTTTGATGTTCAGATCAGAAACAGAGTAGTGTTGCAACCAGTTTTTATAATCCTAGGAGAAATCCGTGAATTAACGAGAAACGAGATTCATGGAGCAATTATTTTTTGCCAGCGTCATGGGAAAGGCACAGACTGTGGTGAGCTGAGAGAAAGCAAAGCAATAAAAATGGGTGTTCTCCATAGGTGCTATGATGAAGAATTTTAAAAATTCCAAATTTCTTTGTTTTAGAAAAAAATTATATGGTGGCAAAACCCAAAATAAGAGACTTATTCATTTTTAGGTAATGCTATAGCCCCCTCATTACTATGCTGTCTAATGGTATGTCTAAATTACATTTAGACACCTGCGGCTGGCCCATGCCAGCTGACTCAGGCTTGTGGGGCACGGGCTGTGGGGCTGTTTTCCCTTGTTGACTTGCTCTACAAATAGTTTTCTTTCTCCCAGCCTAATTCTCTCCCTCTTCTTCCTTGCTCCCCACCATCCCCCTCAACACCCTCCACCCCAGCTCACTTGTTTCTGTCTTCCCCTAACAACAGGCCCATTTTGCTTACTACATTTCCAAAAGCAATTTCAGTTGGATTTAGTATTAATTTTTCTTTGTCCAAATACTGTTCTGTAGTGTTGCTGTCCCTAGGTAAATAATTGCTGTGTTTCACTTCAGCAGTGGCTATATTTGAGATGTGGGTAAAACAATACATATGGATCTGTGGTAAATTTTGTAAAGTATTTTGAGATCCATCACGGCAAAAAGTTGCGTGCATGCTCTCTCTCTCTATATATATATATATATGTATATATGTTGGTCATTATCATTCATTAATGTTAGTAGAGTCTTCAACAATCTTAATCACCTTTTTATATTTTAATTTTTAATTTCCAGGAAAGAGCCCATCCTCCCATCCATTTGAGATATTTCTGGGGTTATAAGAGGATCCATTTTTCCCAGTATTTCACAGGGGTGAATGAATTTCCCTGCTTCCCAGATTATCAACACCTACTGTACCAAAACTACATAATCTTGCCTACAGTCACTTTACACTATGTGGCAACTAGCATGCATATTTTTCTCACAGGAACAACAGCTTGTCCAAAACCCATCAGTGTTATCACTGATTCTAATCTAAGGTCTGTTGTATACACAGTTTTTGCACTGATATAATTATGTTAGGCTAGGTATGCGATTTTTTTAAAACCAAAAATATAACCTTTAATGTAGACAGTTATAATGGTATAACAGATGCCTTATATTGGTATTGCTGATATCCCTTCCTGAATGACAATAAGCTATATGAGTATAACTACATCCACAGTGGGGTGGGGGTGAGGTGTTGTAACACTGTAACCATAATGACATAATTAAAGCTGTACATACAGCTTTTGTGATTAGAGCAGGTCTAAGATGTCACACTTGGTAACGCAAACATTACATGACTGGGCTGAATATTCACAGAAAGTGAATCTTGAATTAGTAATCATGGGCATACCTAAATCCAGATATGAAGAATTTGTTTATTCAATCACGGAACAAATATATATATATATATAATGTGACTCAAATGTCCAGTTAAAACAACTCAAATGTCTGGTAGTCAAATACTTGTAATGAATTACTTGCTAACTCGCTGCAGCTCAATACTTATTAATGAAATTTAGGCCTGTTTCTCCACTCCACCATATGTTGTTATTTATACTTTTGTAAATTGAGGGCAGACTGGATGTATAATGCTACCAATCTGATTTGGTAGCTTTTCTATCCACTTTGCACATCACAAGGTGCAAAGAAGTGGAGAGTCAGGCACATTATTCATTGAATAACTGGAGAAATCTTGATGTGTTTGCAGATAATTTGCAAACAAAATGAGGTGAAATTGTTGAATATATTATCCAACGAGAATTATTCATAGAGCTCAATCAATAAAACTCATAATTCTGTATTTCATTCCCTAGTTTCAGTGCAATGATTAAAGGACCTCCCAGGTAACATGAAATAGAACATATTATGTTAGCCCAAGGAATAATTATGTGCATTGCTCTGTGGGTGATCCAGCTAGACTTCTTATCTCAGTGTCTTGCTTCCTGGGCCAGCTGGGGTTGGAGGTGTTTTAGAGCTAGAGGCCATGTTTCCAGCTCAACTAGTAGGAGGAAGGAAAGGCTGGAAGCACTGCAGGAGCAGTGCACAGCCATTGCAAACACCTGATTTAGGAATGTGACATTGATGGATTCCAGAGCAAACTTTATTCAGCACTTGGCTAGAATATAGAACCTCAAGATTAGAGGATAGAATGGAGGAAATATTGAGAGAGGAGGGAATCCTCAAGTAAATGTAAAGAGGAGCCCAGGGGCTAAATAAGTACCTTCCTAAATCTACTCGAGCTTGTCAACTGGACTTACTGTGTCTAAACCAGTGGTTCCCAAACTTGTTCTGCTGCTTGTGCAGGGAAAGCCCCTGGCGGGCCGGGCCGGTTTGTGTACCTGCTGCGTCCGCAGGTTCGGCCGATCGCGGCACCCAGTGGCTGTGGTTCGCTGCTCCAGGCCAATGGGAGCTGCTGGAAGTGGCGGCCAGCATGTCCCTTGGCTCGTGCCGCTTCCAGCAGCTCCCATTGGCCTGGAGCTGCGATCGGCCGAACTTGTGGACGCGGCAGGAACACAAACCGGCCTGGCCCGCCAGGGGCTTTCCCTGCACAAGCGGTGGACCAAGTTTGGGAACCACTGGTCTAAACTAAGGATGAAATTCTGGCCCCATTGAAGTCAATAGCAAAACTCCCATTGACTTCAGTGGGGCCAAGATTTCACCCTAGGATTTTTTGCTAAAATTTCCCACCAGGGTAGACAACCCCCCAGGCAGCTGCTGGTGTTTTAAGACCATCTCATCTGTCCCTATTCAAAGTAGGTCTAAACAACACTGCTTAAAAGGCTGCCAGCTGCCAATGCCTTGCCTGCACTTGCACTAGCACCACTGCTACCGCAGGTACAGCTGAGTCCATGTTAGCAATGGTGGGAAATGTGGAGATAAGGCCAGTGGGATTAATCACACTTTGCTGAATAAGTTATTGGTTTGTACATTGCAAACAGAGTCCAGCCATGTTGTTTGGTGCTTAGAGACATTAGGATGCTTGTGTTTTTAACCAATCTTGTCATCTCCTCATCAACAATAACAATGCATGGGAAATCCGAGTATGTGAGCCATACTCTACCTGTCTCTCGGAAAGTCTTAGGTTTGCTGCAAGTTCAGACTTCCTCCTGATTGTAATGTATCTGTTGTAATGAAATTCCTTCTCCAGTTCTAATCTCTGATGATCTGTGTAAACCACCCGGTACTTCTCTCTTGTTCTTGTTTTACCTGTTTTGAAAGAAAAAGACATAGCTTCAAGCAAAAGTTTTTAACTTCAATAGCGAAAAAATGTTCTTGAAAATTCTAGGCCTGATTCTTCTTTCACTTACTCCAGGGTAAATCCATTGACTTCAGCAGAGTGAGTGTTGATTTACGCCACAGTTGAATCTGACCCATAGACTTTACTTTTGTTCTTAAGTAAACAGATGACAAATGGATGCTTAGATTTCTTTATCAGCACATTTTGGGGAGGAAGTGTGGTTTTGTGGTTAAGGACTGGTAGTTAGGAAATCTGAGTTCTATTCCTAGCTCTGACAGAGACTTTCTCTGTGACCTTAGCTAAGTCACAAAACATCTCCATTGCTCGGTTTCTCTAAAAAGAGATGATACCTGCCTCAAAGTGGGATTTGTGAGCCTTCTTTCACTGTCTATAAAGCACACTGTCTGTCTAGCACTCTTGGTGCTGTAAAAACAATAATGATAATGATTGATATGTGCAGAGTTCTATTACTATATTTTGATAGGTGGCTCTTTTTGTCCCTTGGGTTAAAAGGTGGAGACAAACTGTCTCTGCCTGGACATCCGCACAAGGAATGGGAGTATGAAAGATTTGCAGTTGAAAGTAGATAGCGATTGAGAGAATGATAATGCTTGATGTAGACCATGTTAAAGTTGCAGCATCCAGTGTTTTACTAATCTTGTTACATAATTTCAAGTCTGGGTCCATGACATGGCTGAACAGGGGATTATTAAAAAGTAATTGTGACTGTCAGCACTGAGGACATCTGGAATTTCTGTCCATGTGGCTGCAACTTTATTAATTCCATCAGGATAACTTCTCGGGGTAACCAGTCCTATTAGCAGTGAAAAGGAGGAGGACCATAGATGCTCCTTTTGTCACCTCCCTCCCCTCCCCTTTGTCAAAACTTAAATCCAGTCAGAGCATCACAGCCCTAGGGATTAACAGGAGTTTAAAACTAAGGCCTTATCAGAGTCTGCATTACCCCAATACTAAACAGCTGCTTAAAACTAAGATCCTCTCAGAGTCTGCATTACTCTCAAGGCCCATTATGGCCTGCAACCTAGAACAGCCTACTGTCTGGAGAATGCACTTGCCTGGTATGGCTTATGCTTACTCATAAACCCTTTTCCTGAGAAAGGTGTGTTAATGCCTGATTCTCAGGGAAAAGGGGCACTTCCCCAAAATCACCCAAAAAGCTGCAACTTTATTAATTCCATAACAAGACAGCTTCTTGGGGCAGCCAGTCCTAGCAGCAGTAAAAAGGGAGAAGACCATAGATGCTCCCTTTGTCGCTGGTCTTCCCCCTTTGTTAATGCTGAAGTCCAGATCATCATGGCCCAATCACAATGGTCCCTGACTGGAGCTCCTAGGTGCTACCGTATTACAAATAATGAATAAATAATATTCTGCCTATGCCTACGGATGATACCTGATCTAATGAGTGTGACAGACTTGATTTCTTCTGGGGTCTCTGTTCACCAGGATTGAAGAACACAAGGTCCTACTCTTTGAATTTGGTCTGTTAGCCTCCATGATACATAGCTCAGCCTTGGGCAAGCACTATGTATTAATAAAAAGAAGAACAGGAGGACTTGTGGCACCTTAGAGACTATTAGTCTCTAAGGTGCCACAAGTCCTCCTGTTCTTCTTTTTA